AAGACTGGCTGGTTTGGCTATTTTAGAAATTCCATCTCTATCTGGTTTACAGAGAATGGATGGAAAGAGAAAATATCCAGACAAAAATAACTTGACGTCTGGGGTTGGAGGGGAATGGCAAGACTTGTTCCCAATCAGAAAAATATAGACTTGGCCACATTTTAAATTGTTTTCCTTGTCATTCTGTAAGAATTGCATATGACACTTTTTTTTTTTTTTTTACTACATCTGCAAATGTTATTGGACCCATCAACCCCAGCATGCAAAACCTGCCTCTTTCATAATAATAGAGGCCAGCTACTGCAAACTACCATACACAGCTTCATGAAATATACATCATTACAAATTGCTTTGCAAATGGCTTTTCAGAAAGCTCCATAAACAGCAGACCTGAAGAGTTAACCATCATCACTGCTAGATGTAAGCTTAAGCTCAAGATCTCATATTTGTTTTGTCAAAATAATGCACTGAATTAAATAAACTCCAAGAAAACAGATTTTTTTTTTTTTTTTGGTTGACTACCACTCAATCGAATCTCTAATAGAGTGAAATCAAGCACATCACTTTTTTTTTTTTTGATGTTCTCAGAGTTTACCAAGAATTCTGAAGGCCGACTTATCTCGATGCCAGAGAAGAAGATTAGCATATGCAGAACAAAGAAGTAAAAAAATACAAAATTGAGAGATACAAAATATAGATGTCACTCATTCCCCAGAGAGCGACATGTCGCAACCCACACAGACAAAGAGACAACTGCCTGCATCGTACCAACCTTGTTTCCTCTTCACAGAACACTTTGTTTCGTTTCTGTGTTTACCGGAGGCTTGCATCTCCTGTCACCCTGAATGTTGTTGCTCTCTGGTGCACTGAATCCACCGGTGGAGAAAAAAAATAAAAAATGCATGCACTAAGCGAGCATGTTAATGTGTTTAACTCTAGTTTTCTCTCCCCCTCTGTATGCATAACCGTCCAAGTGAGAGCAGGCTGAGCCAAGGACCTGTGGTTATTTATTTTTTTTTTTTAAAAAGATCAATTTAAGTCAGCGTACTGGGGGAGGGTTGGAAAAGAAAGAGGAGCGAGTTCATTGTGCAAACCGTGATCGTTGAACTTTAGAAACAAAAGGGCGGGCACGATATTGGCAAATGCGTGAGGACGTGGATTCAATCGACGCACGCAACCCGCGGAGATTTGCCTAAAAACACTCCAGTTGTATTTAGACATGTTCTGCTCTTCTGTCTCTTTGCTCCAATTAGGAGCTGGTCTACTAACAAACACTAGTGTGGTCTGTCCAGAAATCATTGTACGTACATGCATAAAAAAAAAAAAAGTTTAAAAGAACTTGCCAAGAGAATACAGACACCTGAGACTACGAAAAAACATAAAATAAGCATAGTGGTAGAGGTAATCAACACATACTGCAGCTTGTGCCCTCGTCCAGGATTTTTATCTGCAGCCACTGGGGATACAAGTGTGTCTGAGTATGTGGGCTTATCTGTGATCTGCTGTCTGCCATAGTCAGCTTCCCCCTCTGGCATCTTTTTATATATATATTTTTTTATTTTACCAGACCGCTTTCTTTCAGTATCGCTGCGTTTTTGGCTCGAGGGTCTGAGTGGACCGAGCTGATGAGCTCATCAGCGGTGTCTCGAAGTCTGAGAGCCCGGGATTTCCTTTTTAATTTTATTATTATTATTATTATTGTTGCATGTGTGCATGTTTTTCGCTGACAGAGAAAGTGAAGCGATGAAAGCCGAAAGGCGTGGTGGCGCACTCGGATCGTTAAAATGTATTTCTCAGATTGGAGTCACTTGGAGAAGCTACCAAAGAAATAAAAGCCAGAACAACCTGTGCTTCCACTCGGCTCCTTTGAACTGGTTCAGTGGGGGATCCTTGTTCTTTCAATTCTAGAAGATTTTAAATAGACCTGCTACTTGGCATCAACTCGGGGTCCATATCTCAGTATTTTTAAAGAACTGGTATTTAAGACACTGACTAACACGGCTCCTGATATCTGTTGTTGGTCCACTGGTAATTTGTTTCACGGCCAAAGCTCCAGTAAGCTGTAGGAGCTCATTTTGCACTGATGGTCACAAAAAACAACCCAATTTTTATACATGGCTTTCAAAATTTCCCCGTTATGTACACTTTTTTTTTTTTATCCAAAAGAAAAACTATTGGCTTCTGCATATTCTTGGTGTTTAATGCCACGTGGTGGCATTAAAGCATTTTAAGAGCTCCATTTTAAGGATGGAGCTCTTTGCTCCATCCTTAAAATGAAACAATGTTAACTGAATTTTATGACGTCCAAAGTAAAGGACAAAGATTTTTAGAGAACATTGTTTTTTAAAGTTTTGTCTGCACACAGTTGACTAGAATCACATTTAAATATGATTTGAGCTGAATTATCAATAAGCTGATTAAAAAAAAACAAAAAAAAAACAGATTGTGGCAGTTTATCATTTCAGCTAACTTTTCATAAAATCATTCTCAACAGGATTAAGATGAGACTTTTGAGAATATTGTTGCTTTATGCGTCATGTCAGAAGCATCTTTGGAAAAAGTTTTATCTTACTTTTATGTTTGTGTTGTGATATTGTATTGCACAGTGCACACTAACAAATGGTGCCCTCCTGTTTATGACTTTTAGTAGACAAGTGTTTGAAGACCTATCTGTACGCTGGTCTGCTTCTTGACATGCACAAGTGTCGCATGTGAGACAGTCCTATGAAGGACCGTCTCCACACATGACTGGTTGAGCTGCCGCGGTCTGTTCCCAGCGGAGACGATGGCTCCCCACCTGAGGCTGGCCTGTGGTGGGGGGATAGAGGAGCGACTCCTCTGTCAGCAGGCAGGACTCCCCATGGTGGCCCTGGTTCTGTGTCTGTACTATTTTGGCAAGGGGCCGGTGTTTTGGGAATGACGTTGGGGGCTCTGTTGGGGTTGTGTGTAGGTTTGTTCGACTGAGAGCTCTGCCCTTGCTGTTGCTGGGTTATTGGATGATGGCCCACCTTCCCCACAGGGTGGTGTTGAGCTGATTGTGGGTCCTGAGGATTTTCTAATTCCCCTGGGCTGTCTTGCCGTGTTGGACTGCACGGGGCCCTCACTTCATCTGATCCCGGATTTCTGCAGTGAGCTCTGTGGCTGCCTACTGGGTGGTTGGTTCTCACTGCTCCATGCAGGGGGAGTCTTGCTGCTAGATGCCTTTGTAGAGCCTTGTGTCTTTTCCTGTGCGCCCGCTGCTCCTTTGCCTCGGGTTCCCACCTCTGTCAGGTTTATGCTGTTCAACAGGTGTGCCAGGGGTAGCTGTGACCCTCATTGATCCATCAAGGGCTTACCCTTCTTCCCACTTTACCAGGTAACATATTCATACATGCACACACCGTTACCCTTTTCTTCCTCACAAAGTGTTGTTCAGTGTCTATTTCCTTTCTCTTTTCCACTGTGCAACCACACAGTCTAGTTCATGTAATAAAACTGATAATGCAACAGAGGGCAGTGTCTCAAAATCCATTGTTTTAGGAGTAAAAGACCCCCTCACACAAGTCTCCCTGCGCTTTTCCATGTGATATGCCATAAATGTCAGAACAGGACACGTCAAAAAACGACTCGGACTGTATCTGGGACCAACCCCCTAAATTGGGACATATCTAATAGTGACTCTTGTTCAGCTGTCCCACTTTCAGACACCTTCCTTGCAGAACCCGTCATTTGTAATTCGCAATGTGCAAAACTATTAACACATTATTATGCAAACACTAAAGATGGTGTATTATTCCATTAAACATCCTCAAAGGTTACAAACTTTTACTTTTGATACTTTGAGTGCAATTTGCTTTCAGCTTCACTCACTCACCAAGACGTTCTTGTTTCTTTTTAAAGTTGAATCCTCTTTCAGTGTGTAACCAAACTCCATAGATAGGCTGCTGAACTTGTTTTAAGATGCAGGCGAGGGACAAAGTTGTAACTGTTTCAGAGGCACCACAACATGCACTAGATATGATATAGCATTGCAATTTCAAGCTTATAGGACTCTCACACGTCTTGTGTAAAAAGTTTTATACATGGTGTGATTTCCCTTAATTTTGTCAAAATGCATTAGTTTCTCCACTTTTCTAATCCTCATTTGACATTTATGTTTTGTTATGTCATTACAAACACCTTTTCCATTGTTTAGAGGAAAACATCGTTCACATCGCTCGTCTGTTTCAGAAAAACAACATCATTCCTTTTTCAACAGGATCCCATCATCAGAACGGTGGTGAGGTGGCCGCTGAGCGGTTTGTGTTCCCATCATGAAAGTCGGAGTACTTGGAATTAATGAACTCTAGCACATGATTAAAGGACCCTGGACACGTACAAGCCGACGCGCACAGATGCCACGGGGGAAGCAATAGGCGGTCAATGGGAGTTGCGGACCTTACAAACCTAATTATGTGAATTAATGGCAGGCATCAGTCAGGGAGTACGCAGTGTGTCACACTTAAGAACATGCAGGCCCAATCAGCCGGAGACAAAAGTGCAGAGATCACACCAACTGGTCGTGTCCCAGTGTGACGCCTCATCCGCTCCTGGCTCACTTCTTTCGTTTGGTGAACTGACAATAAAGCTTAAAGGCTCAAACTTGTTTCACACAAACAGCGCAAACGCATAACAGCAGGAGATTCCAACACAGACAAGGAAACATGTACTGTGTAAACACACAGGTACAAGAAATATTATGTTGCTGTCATTTCAAGCATTCATTTCAACAAGGTATTTCCTTTTCTTGATACATTTGGTTATTTGCATTCCGTAGATGTTGCGTTTTGTTCAGGCTCTCATGAGCCGATGTACAATGTACAATAGAAAGGGACTCATTCAGGGAAATCCTTTCAGTATTGGAAGATGTTAACCTGTTTTCATAAAGTGTGAATTGCTATGAACCAGATTTTTTTTTCCTGATACTATCTTGGTGAATCTCCTCTAAAATAAAATCACATAATAGCAAAAACAAGTCTTACCTGTGCATTTTTTCTGCGCGCTGGTCCGTTTGCCGTGCATCCCGAGCCTGCAGTCGAAGTTTTCCTCCCAGAACTCGGCAAACCAAACGTTTCTTCTGTTGTTGGACAGAGATCGGCTGCGGAAATACCGGTCAAATGCTGCACAGAAGACAGAGAGGCCAAAAGTTAAAGCAGCACAAACAGGATTCGAAGAGCGGAGACTGAATCGCCATCACTGACGAAAAGGGGTGGGGCTTTAATAAATCAGCATCTGATGGGGCTCAGAACTTGTACCGAGCTTACCAGAAATGTTAAAATTATTCTCAGCAGTAAAACACATTTAGACATGGGGGGGAAAAAAATAAAATTAATAGCCACTATGTGATTTATAATGCGATTTTGGTGATCTCCTTCCTTCAATTTAATAAAACAGAAGATGGGAAATAGTAAAAGCTTTCCAAACACAAATGAATGGAAAAAAGCAGATGGCATATGGTAGGATAGGATGACCAGATCACTTTAAGAAAAAAAAAAAAACAGGACGCTGTTCACACGGAGGCTGAAACGAATAAGGCAATTTAAGTCGATCCTCCAACACAACATGCTGAGGTTAAACTGCAACAGTACATGTCACAACATCCAAAGCTCACTGAGAAACAATCAAGTTGACTGAGACACCCTGTGCCATGTGTGACTCGGCGTACAAGCTGACAAGCGCTGCCTTGATTGATCTCATCTGCTGTCACAGATGTGGATTCGGCGCGTACCTGTTCAGCTTTACAGATAGGCAGACTGCTGGGAGAACAGTGGGTTCGCTCCATGTGCAACTCGACGGGAAGCACATGTCATGTGGGATCACCCGCCTCCTACTGTGATGGCAGATGTGCTCAAAAACGGTAACATAAGCATCCCTTCTTCTGTCAAAAACCACGAAGGGGGGAAAAAAAAAAAAAAAATCCTCACCCGCTAAAAAAATTTCCTTGCCAAAATGGGGGGTTTATTCTTTGAGACAGAGTTCGTTTTTTGGGGGGTTTTTTTTGGTTTTTTTTGATGAATGCTGTTTAATTTGCATTTTTCTTACATTGTTTTGTGAGAACTAGGAGACAACATTCAGTAAAGGAGAACTTTGTCTAAAGATTGAATCCAATCAGTTAAGAAGAATTGTAAATCTAATGAATCGTTTCAATAAAAACGACAAAAATCTTTTTTTTACATTTTCTGTTGTCTTGTTTCCAATGCACCTTATAAATGTTGAGTTGCTTTTTGACTTCTTGGAAAGTGACACCTGAGCTTTTAAAAAAGCGAACATCAATGATTAATACAATCACACTTTCTTCCTATAGGCTTCTCACACAAGTTACAACCCAATATTTTATCTGCTGCTGCTATTGCTTAATGAAATGCTTGGGTCAAAGCAAAGCCCCTTGTTTTACACTTGAAGAAAGCCACACCAACCATTTTCATAATTTCAAGGCCAGATGATAGATGAAGTAACCTTTAAATATGTTACTTCATCTTTTAAAACTTGCATATTCAAATTTTTAAGGGTTGGAAAGAACATTAGATGATATTCATAGCAAACACATGAAGAAAAAGTGGGATTAAATCTGCTGTCTTACAGGCATTTTAACTTCATGTTGCAAAAAGTTACAGCTTTGCACAGCATCCATAGCTGGATTTTTGGTTATATTGCTATTTATTTGCATTTTTATTAAATATTTTTTAAATGTTTGTGCCAAACTATTTCATCCTCTATTCTTTAATATATTAAAGGCCAACATATTTAAGAAAAGTCTTTGATTATTTAAGTTACCAAATCTCTTCTAAGGCTTTTGTTACAATTTCACCCTCCAGGGACTTTCGACGAGAAGCAGTTGAGGCCAGATGTATGACGTTGCACCGATCCACCTTTTATGATTTTTCAGAACGTGACACGTTCAAATTAAACTCTTACCATCCACAGACACTCGTTTGGGTAGGATGGTGATGGCTCCCTCGGCAACCATCTCTTGGCCAGTCACTGGAGAGCTCTTGGACCCCCAGCTGTCTGATCCAACCCACAAGAAGTGACCAGTCTGGTTGCTTCTTTTAGCAGCATCAAGAACTCGCCTATTAAAAGAAGATGACAATTAAAATTATGGCTTGTACTGCAGTCCTAACGCTGCTGATAGTGTTATGCGGTGTAAAAGGAGGAAGACAATCGTCTCCCTACTTAATAAATGTGACATGGCGAGGTTAAATACGTCAATCTAACCCAATCGCAGTCATGTGAAAGTCCTTGTTCCTTCTATTTTGACTGATACAACAGTTGTCGTGTGTCTGTAAATTAGAAGTGTTTATCTTGTATGGCTTGAGACATTTCATTTTGGCCACTTTTCCAAAAAACAAAAAACAAAAACAAAACCAGATTTGTGAAAAGCAAAACAAAAGTTCAAAACTTGGGGAATTTTGAAAAGAATCTCTCAGAAACCTGCCTAGTGTGTTCCTTGGTCTTCATGATGCAGCTTGTTCACTAATGTTCTCCAACAAACCTATGGCACCTTCACAGACAATCTGCACTTAATGTTAAAATGTGGAACGGATATTTTTCCAAGACCCTGTAATTAACGGCTTTGTAAAAAGGTGCATAGATAAAATTGCGAAGTACAAACCGTATGTCGTCTTCATTGGCAAACATGATGATGGCCCTGGCATTGGAGGTCTCCATTAGTCGCCTGATGATCTTATCAAACTCCCCCACTCTTGGCTCCCTTGGGATCTTTAAAGACTGGGCAATACACACACCACCTAGGTAAAAAAAAAACAACAACACAAAATCCACTTTTCACTTTACAATCACCAGATTCTGCTCTTCGTTCCACACTTGTCGGTCAATCCTGTCTGGACGCATCATGCAGTTTGTTAGTTCTAAACTTGGTTGAAAGCCCTCAGTGTCGACGTCTCAACAGTGGATGGTTAGAATGGCAGGAGGTGCAGAAAGCAGAAAAAGCAATGAAGGTATCGCAGTACTGACAGAAGGAAAAGGAGCGGAGACTCACAAAAATCAGCTTAAAACAAATAAATGTAAGCCTCTGTTTGCATGGGGGGGGACAGGAATCAGTCGTCAATAAAGGTGAAACATACATGAGTCCGCATCGTGATTCCTGTCCTCCTTGGAGCAAACACATCTGGAAAAATCTCTGCCAATGCCAAACTGATGATCAGCTCATTTGCATTTTGCTCAGTGTAATTATTTTATTCACAATGTGCAGCATTACTTTGCTAGTTTGTTAATTTTCCCTGTCCTTTTTTGCCTCGGTTTCAGACGCACGCCTCCATGCGAACACACACACACACACACACACACACACACACACACACACACACACACACACACACACACACACACACACACCAGTCCAACACTAATCCAGACTTTATATGTTAAAGCTTCAAACCTTGTAATTGGCTTTGCTGAATTACACTGTTAGCTCCAATCAAAGAAAGGAGAAGGAATTGTTTTCCACAGAAGACAAAATGCATTTGTCTTCATGTTCCTTTTATTTTGTCGTCTTGCCTCCCTGTGCGAGTGCAGAAAGCGAGGGTGACTGATATCTCCCTGCCTGTTCCAGCCCATTTATCGAACATCTGTACAGTCTGTCGCTTTCACTATATCGCAATCCTTAATCAACATACAGTCACATTGATACCCAGGCAGGCACACACACCAGAGTGCATGACTGCTAAAACAAATTCTCATTAGCCTCAAATTAAAAGCCTCTCAAGGCTAATTACAAAAGTGACAAAAGCTGCACAGACGCCCCATCATCCAACCCCTCCCATAAACACCAAACGCCCAACCCAACATGAGGCTCAACTCGGAATGAAAAAGCATCTCTGTATTTTCTAAGTAGATCGTCTCGATGGAGCGTTTCACTCAGGCAGAACAGGGATTTGAACGTCTAAAGGCGGTTTTGACATTTTTCCCCCTTAAAAAACACCTTAAACCTTAAATCGTGTCTTGGCATGACTTAGTCTGAGTCAACAAGTATCCTCATTTGATGAAGCCATGCTTTTAAGTAAAAATTGCTTTTGCCGTTACTATTGTGTTTTTCCCAGAAATTATGAGAATTCGGACCCACTAGCTACTGGTTTCATGGTTCTTCAAGTCTATTTTTCAAATTCTTGCAATGAGTGTTTGTGTGACATGATACATTATTAAGGCAACGTTTACAGAGTAATGCACTGAAAGTCATTTTGAATCCAACAATGATTTCAGAATTCACTTTTAGAAAATCGCAAAAAAATACTATTATATTTGATCTTTATTGAGATTATATTGGTTGTTGTTTAACTATAAATCTTTGAGTCTCTAAAAAAATATTCCTCCACAAATAAAACTTGTTATAAAATAGGTTGCATCATATTTCAACATTTATTTATAACCATTTTTAACAATGGCAGCTTTGCATGAAAAACATCTGAATATAAGTGATCAAATAATTATTTTGTGTTATCAACCCCAGCAGCCATCTGAAGTGAGTTTGTTCGAACAAACCCACACACACACACACACACACACACACACACACACACACACACACACACACAAGTTTCAGGTCAACTTTGCCAGAGAGCAGCTTCTTAAATCTGAATGTCAGCTACTCATAAAAGATGCTAAGCATCACAGGATTGGAACAAAATTAAAAATATGGAGAACAAGAATCAGTCATTTTTTTTAAGGTTGCTTGTGGGTGGTGAAAAGCTGTTACCAATCAAAAAAAGATGCATGCATTTAATTTTCCATGATATATTTTTTAGCACAGCATTGGTTTAAAATGTTAAGTTTGTGTACACAGTGTAATCGGAATATTTTTCCCCCCCTCCCAAACCTAACTCTTTCCCATATGAAGAACGATGGCCAAAGGCATGAGATATTCCAATAACGCGAGCAGTAAATACACTATTTGTCAGCCAGCATGCTGTCATTGGATTAAATCTCAGTCAGTCATATTTAGAGCAATCAATTAGAGACACTGGCTGAATCGATTTTTAGTTTTAACCCAAAGCAGTAGTTGTCTTCTCAATAAATGAAGGCTCATGCTGTGGCTGATTGTGCACAAATTGAATCATTTATTATCAGTTGATGGCATAACATCACACGCTGGGCAAACTAATGTGAGCTTATTCAAAATTCCTCTTCATTTACTTCAAATAAAGCCGTTATTGGTTTGCAGGATAAGTCAGCTTTGCTGAAAAATCCCCATTCGCGATGCGCTTATATTTAAAGGGCTGAATAAAAATTCGATGTTCACTTGACACGAAGGGAATGAGCTGCCCGTCGGGTCACCAGCAGCCTCCGTGAAGGGGTCGGCTTAAGGTAAAAAGAAAGCTGCGGCTGGTTGAGGTCGCCCTGTTTTCCTGACTTCACAAATTACTTTTTGAAAAATGCACCAGTTCTACAAATACTAAGAAAAAAAAAATATCCACAGCTTCTAACCTATGTTAACAGACTTAATCATTCCTGCTTCTTATTTCTAAGCTAGAAACATTTTTAAAGCACATGCTAAATGTTTCTAAATAGACCAGATAGTAATAGCGAGACTTTTCTTTTTTTTTTTTTTCTACCGTTGCTTATAATTGCAACATCAAAATTTGGTCCATGCGGTGGAATGTAGAATACTAAATAAGCAAAAGCAATACGCAGAATGGGCTACAAAGTTGCACCATTGTGAAGAAGAAGGGAAATATCACAGTTTTAAAAATTAATCACAAATAAAAACTGTAAAAATGTGGTTTATTACACTTCATTCCAACAGATAAAGCAAAATTTAATCCAGTGCCTTCAACAGAGTTCTAAAAAAAAAAAAAAAAAAAAGTTAATTAAAGAATACAATCCCAATCAATGACAGTCTAAATAGGAGGACAGTGGTGCTCTAGTGGAGGTGGGTCCAAAATTGATGCTCCTGCATCATAAAAGAGGCAATCATATTTAATGACTGCCCCCTGCACAGAGTCATAATCTTTCACGATTCCTCTTCTTCTAAAATAAGACTCGTTTTTACAAGCTGTAAAGATAAACATGCTAAGTGTGTTCAACACCTCTCCAAACGAAATCCTTATAGTTAGCAATTAAAGGCATTCTGCCTTCAGATTGAATTCTCTCTCTTGGAGGACGTGAAACTCTGCTGTCTCAGCGTTTAATTAATCTGCCTTCCTCCCACGCACTCTTCTCTCGGCAACATTTCATCTCTAACCCAACAGAGACAAACACAATGGGGGGAGGAAAAAAAAAAAAACAGCGCAGGAAGGGTTTATTTTCCCTCCATTTTATTCTCGCTTTCAGTTTATCAAGTTTCTTAGAAATCCCTGCGGTCTTTGAGGAATGCTAATAAAGAAGTGACTACGCGACTGTAGATCATGATCAGACCATTTTAGAACATTATGTCCAAGTTTCCCATCAGTTGCAGGATGGCAGATGCTTGAACATTTAATGCGAGACATAGTGGGGAAAGTAGGTACTGAACACATCGTTTCTTGGATACCTGATGTGGATGTTGCTACGACATCCACATCAGTGGTTGCTAAAAACCCAAAGCAATCCACACCTCCAAAACAATACAAACAAGACTCTGTGACTTGCTTAGAGTTTCAAAAAGAGATAGAATTAGCAGATATAGATTGTTTTATTTTTTTTTTAATGAAAACAATTTGTCTATTAGGGTCCACAGTTTGTCAAAATTCATGTTATTTAATTTCTTAAGACATCATATCGACCCGATAGGCTTTCTGTCTAAAATCCTAATCGCCCTATTAAACATCATTCTCAGGGGTTTGATTTTTTTTTTTTTTTTTTTTTACCGGAGCCGCTTCTGTCGATGACTTTATGAATTGGAAAAAAAATAAGGATGTATTTTGCAACAGCAACATAGTCAATACCCATTTATGAGTCTTCAGTTATGCTAGATTTTTTTTGCAACTCTGGCAGCACATTAATGCAAGAAAGCGGGTTGATGACGTTCCATTGGCTTCATGCACTCATTTTCGTTTTCAAAGCTTTACAGATTTTTTTTTATGAGGTGCTGCGTTGCTCCTTTGCATTGTGCAGGCGACTGCTGTTGTCGTGTATGTGGATTTATGACCTTTTATCGTCTGCTTCTCATCTATTTTTGTGTGCGTGTTTTTTTTTTTTTTTAGCTGCAACTCCTGCATTTTAAAGCTGGTTTCTCGCTCCTGTTGGCCACTTGTACCAATATAACTTTTCATCATCTGTGAAGAACCTCTAATAAAAGCTGCACAAGTACCACACACCCTCACCGTTACATCCACATATTTTGCAATGCATTTAATGCTGGCGTTAGCGCTTGAGCACACGGAGATGCTAATGTGGCCCCCCTGCCGAGTGAGATGGGAAATAATGGTATTGTTAAATCTACATGTTTTTATGCCGACGGAACAAGTCTTTTTTTTTTTTTTTTTATGTTTGTTACAGTGTGAAATAAGACCTTGTAACTCCAAGAACAAAAGCAGGTTGAATTCAGAGTCTCTGCCTTTAATGATTCCTCCTTTCACAATGCAGCATTGTCTCCGTCTGATTATGCCAAGTGTGTCTCTGCTACTAAGAGACCCGAACTCAATGTCAATTATTAATCTTAGCACAATATTCGGTGTCGTTGGGACTACACACGAGGGTTTATGTGCCCGACAAATCCACACGGTGGGAAATTAATTTCTCCCTCCGGCTTAGCGAGCGTTCCTCCGTTAAAAGCCTTCCCCTGCATTCACCCTCTCACGAATACCTGCTAGTGATTTGTTACTTAGATAATTTTC